ATAGGGGAAAAGAAATGATAGTTCGTATTAAAACATTTTCAGCATCATCTATATCAAAATTAAGTTGGGAAGAGATTAAATACGTAATAGCCAGGATAATTCGTTCTAATCAATAAGTGTTTTAGTATCACGTGATTACTGCGCCTGTGAACAACGACCCTAGCGTCACCCGTAAAAAATGGTAGCCGGACAGATTTGCCGGGTATGTAATTCGGATTTTATTCTGGGCAACTTCGATTACTTAACACTAACGCTAACCAGAAAATGTTTTTCGCGTATTTTTGTATTTACAAATTCCTTTATTATTGTTATCAAATAACAAATAAGGTTTTAATTTTTAAAATAAAACATATCTTTTTAAAAATTTATTTGTTTTTCTTTTAGCCATGCTTATAGACGAATTTAAATTTTTCTTGCAAAATAAAGTGTACATGCTAAAATAGTCGCTTAGTAAAATTTAGAACTTTGAAAAAATAGAATGTAATTGCAAATTTCAACTATACACTATATAAAAAATATTATACCCAGTACATTGTGTTTTTATTAAAATCCTTCCATGTTCTGGGCATTGTTATACGATTATTTAATGCCGCAATGTTATTATTCATGTTTTCTAGTGACTTGAAATTTGAATGAATATTATTTAACCATAAATGCCCTTTGGGCTTGTTGCGTGATTCTTCTAAAAGTTTTTTAGTCTTAAAAAATAATTAGAATTCTATGCATTTATAGAAAATTAAATACAAATATATACCTTGTCCAATATTTCATGTAAATAAGCTATTTCGATTTTATAATCGTGTTGTTCTTTATTATTTTCATCATATTCATTTTCATTAATTGATTCTTGAATTATTTGGATACTTGAAGGTTCATTATTTGAAGGTTCATGATTTGAAGAATTTTCTTGACAAAACACATTTACTTGTTTGCCCTCATAAGATGAAATTAGTGGATAGGTTCCATTTCTTTGTACCTGCATAAACATATCAATATTGTTAAATAGATATATTAATGTTAATAATAAAAAATAAAAAATATTGGACTGGCTTTTTCTACAGAATTGATCAAATGTTTACATAAAAAAAACCTGCTTTGAAAATATGCAGGGCATGCGCATATCCATTTGACTGGATCTGTAAAATACTTGTTATTATGTTATTAGTTTGTATTATTTTTATCTCATGCTCTTTCCATTCTTGTTTAAACTCTTTACACTATGATACCAACTCACAAGCATTCGAATTCGATACAATTGTCGATCAATAACCTTCTTTACAAGAATATAACACAGATGATTAACTCGTGGTTTGTAAAACTTGTATAAGTAATCACACTTAATTTGGCACCAATGAGATTTGACTGTCATAGTCATTTAATTTTTTCATCGGCTACTCGAGCCTATAAATTCTATTTTTCTTTGGAGTACCATTCCTTCCAAAAGTAAGTCCATAGTTGAAACAATTATTTTTACAATATTGCATCATCTTGCTAACACATTCTCTTCAGATTTCATTTGCATTTGTAATAAAAGTGTCATCAGGTTTTGGTAATAACATATGGGGTGTTCCGTATTAAAAGGGCCTATTTTTACATTTTTTTGAAAAATGAGCTTTTATTAGATTAATATAAAATTTGACATGACGGACATTTTTCAATTATAAATGAAAGTTGATTTGCTTAATAAAAAATAGAGATAATGTAAATGAAAACCACATGAGGCTGCCTAAGGTCAGAAATATCACAAGATTACCCGATAGTCACTCATTACCTTTAACTAATCAAAATCATAAAATTTGATTAATCCCGGATCAGTTCAAAAATCAAAACAAATGATTAAACTCAATTATCTCAAAATAAATATAAAAATGGACCCTTTTAATATGGAGCACTCCATATGGCATCTTGAATAATTTTTAACAAGTTCAATTACAGGTTTACGTAAATTTAAAGGACGTGAATTAGAATTATCTATAACTCCAATTTGGATCTATTACAGAGCATTTTTGATATGCAATTTTTGGATTGTAACTATAATATATTTTTGTTTTACTAGAAGCCAATTGTTGTTTCACTACTTGTCAGATGTACTAAATACACAACTATAAATGAGCTTCAGGCCAAACAGCCTGTACTGCATTAATTTCACTATAATCTTTGTCAGTTAATATAAAAGGAAAATTTTGTAAACCACATTCTTTTAAAGCTTGCATTCACTGAAGAAGAATATTTGTTATATTTTGATTTTTTCCTGCTAAAATCAAAAGATAACTAAGAGGAAACCCAGCACTATCAATTATACCTAAAAGCGAATACAATTCACATACTTGATTATTGGTATTATAAGTTGTATCAATTGCAATTGCATCAAGTTTATTATAAATTAGTCAGTTAAATATTGATGTTAAAAATCCAAGAGTAGGCATAGAAGAATTAATATTATCTATGATAATTTTTTGGTTAAATTCTTCTAATAAATGTTTAGCCGATATTATAGGGTTAGGATCTCGAAGATATACCTTGCGAGATTCTATAAACTACTAGTAGTAGGCTTGCTAAATACTAAAGTTTTCATATCTATTAATATAATTATCTTGAACTTGACGCCAAATTCAGGAACACTAATATCAACATTATCTTGAATAAATTTTTTGATTTTAGATATTATTAAAACATGTCTTGGTCGTGAGTGCAGCATTTTATAAGAATACTTGACTTTAATTAAGTTTAAGTCTGATAAAATTTCTATATTTATTAATCTCTTACAGTTATAATAGCAAAAGTATCCTATTGCTTGTTTAATTCTGGATGTTTTGCTTGCTGTTTCCCAAGTTCAATTCGACAATTGCAAAAATAAATTAAAAGAAAAAACCTTTTTTTTTTGTTTTTGTCTCTATAAACCCATGAATAACTATCCCCATCAGAAACAAGAGAAATAATATAGTGACCAATTTCAAATTTGATATTTTCTTTTTGTGATTCATTATTCTCTAAAATATTATTTTGCAAACTTGACAATTCAACATAAAATATTATATCTAATTCTTTATTTTCGCACTCATAAAATTCATTAGTATTATTTAATGAGATTAGAAAATTATACACAATTTTGGTAATGTCCAAATAGTTAATTATTATGTCAGGTTCTTGATTATTCTTCAAACATGCCAATCTAATTTGGGTTCGGTATTGCAAATATTTTTTTAATCATATCAGCGAATTTTTGGAATTTCTATTAAAATTTCAAAAATATTTAGCAATGAATAACTTTTGATCCATTAGTTCGTTCTCGATAAAACTACCAAAATGTTCATCTCGATGAGATGATTCTAATGAGTCAAAAATCGGTAAAATTCAATCACAGAATATGAAATCATTAATGATTTGTGTCACTTCAGGTGTTTTAGGATTGGTTTAACCAATCCTAAAACACCCGAAATGACCCAAATTGTTATCGATCTTGGGATCCTGTGATTGAATTTAACAATTTTGAACTCATTAGAATCATCTCATCAAGACAAATATTTTGGTAGTTGTTTCATCGAGAACAGACTTGTGGATCAAAAACAATTTGCTGTTAAATATTTTTGAAATTTTAATAGTAAATTCCAAAAATCCGCCAATATGTTTAGTTCCTTTTTCATCCAAGAAATCCTCACTAGGTCGATTGGAATGACATCCTACAGTATGCAGTAGTCGGCTTGTTTATTTGACATGGTAAGGCTTTTAATTTATAAAAAAAAAATTTTTTATTTAAATTCGCCCATAATCAAAAACAAATATGTATATAATAATTTGAAATTTACACTTGTTCATAAAAATAACGGCAAAAGGAAAAAAATTTTATTCGAGTTATTATTTTATGGTTAACGATAATACAGGTAAAAATAAACACACGAAAGACTAATCAAAATTCCAATACGTAATCAGATCTGAAATCAGATCCGAAATCATATATACCCGGCAGATCTGTCCGGCTACCATTTTTTACGGGCGATGCTAGGGTCGTTGCCTGTGAACTCGAGTTCACACTTAATGTCAAACAAATCAAAAATAATTATTATAATTAGAAAAATTAAGTGAATACAAAAGTATTCAACTCTTAATTAATTAATGACAAAAACAAAATAAATTTAAAATTTGAGTTACGGGTAGAATTTTCGGTTTTACATATATTTATTTGTACAGCATATCTTACGGTGTTGAAATTCCACATGCAAGAGTTTTTACCTTATGCATAATTTGTTCACAAACACAACTTTACTAGCACTAAAGCCAAATGCCCGGTATGAAAGAAAACTAAAAAAAAAATAAAAATCGCGACTGCTTACAAATTTGGTGTAAGAATCAATAATTAATTACCTATCCCAATAATTCTAACACCTATCATCATAATAAAACCAAAAACTGAGAACAGTGCTCTTAACTAAAAACATATGATTGTATACAATGCAATTTTTAACCAACAACCTTGTAAACTATTTCGGGTATAATAAAATGAACTTTAAAAAAATGATTGACCTAGTCGTATTTTTTGATTATTTCATTCTAAAACGTATTTTATTATGAAATACGCGTCCAGGTGTTCCAACAACGAAGTAATTTTCAAATTAACTAATGAATCGTTCATGGATGATTTTAATATTATATAACACACTTTCTCATCTTCAACGATCAAAAAATAGTCAAATAACTTTGATTCTTTTAGGTTTTAAATCCTTCGTGCAAGATATAAAGTGAATAGTTAGTCGTAAATCACATTAATTACTCAATATTATTGGAAAACTTACCATTTCAAATTGCATATTCATTAGCTTAACAAACTTTTCTATTTTAGTATCCTCATCTTTTTTTACATCTATACTTTTCCATATATTTAATAACAATTCATTCTTGGATATTGCCATTTGTACAATGCGGTTTAACTGCTCTTTGTTCGAAGATTCCAATTTACCAATTATATCTAAGGCAAAATCTGTCAATTCTTCAAGCTGACATTTATCTTCTTCAAGTTCCAAATCTCTTAACTTTCTTTTTTTAATCTGATGATCAACTTCATTATCCTCATGTGTCCCATTCGCTGTTGAGATCAATCTCTCCATAATTTCAAAATCCAATTTTCGTTTTATTTCTACCAATTGTTCATATTCATCTTGACCTCCTATTAATAACACAAAGAAAAATTAAACCATTTTTAATTATAATTGTAAAAACAGACATCAATATTCTTTCAAAACTCACCCAAACATATAACCACTTCCAATGCTAGTGTTGATAACCTCTGTAGCTTTTCATCGTTCCATCTTCCGCTTGATTGGGTAATTGCATGTGCATTGTAATTCCTCGCTTCAACTTTAAAGGACATTAATAAATCAGACGGATTTAATTTATATTGACCACAAAATAGTGTTTGATCAGATTGGCGAGTTGTGAACAAGAAAATAGTTTGTAATATGAAATTTAAAAGACATAATAAATCAGCATCGGAAAAATCGATCTGTCGCGGAGGATTACATTTCATAACAAAGTCTTTTACGGTTTTGGAAGGGATGTATTTTTCATATTTTGTAATAAAATTAAAAAGAGCTCTTTCAACATGTTGAAGTATTGGTTCAACGTATGAACCTTGCTCCGATGCTGAGAATGAGAATCTTTGTGGGATTGGCGGAGATGATGATCGATGAACTTGGCTTTTCGTCTCTTGTACCTTTTCTATTTCTTGTTCGTTTGTAACTTTTTCTTGTAACTCTTTTCCAAATTCGCGTTCCTTTAAACTATTAATTGATGCATTTCCTTTCCGAACATTTACAGAGGTGGAGCCCGTACCGTAAGAGACATTGACAACACTTGAGAAAAATCTCGCTTTTTTAAAAACAGCACGGTCATTTTCGTCAATGACCTTTAACATTCTTTTGTTTTCCTTCTCTTTCTCGAAGATATTAAGCCATATGTTTAACTGTGTGCATTCTTCTCGTAACTTTTTGTCATTTTTCAATAGAGCTTGCATCGATAATCACAACGCCTCTTCTTGCTTACTTATGGCAGACTTTCTATTTATGGGAGGGTCCAACTGAAGTAAACTTTCGATTGTTGCTTTTAAGGTGTCTTTAATGTTGCCTTTGAGGTTTTTCTTGAGCCACTTTGAAAGTTTAGCCATTATGAACTGGCGAATGGGTAAAATTAAAAAAATATTACTTTGGGGTCTTTGCTACGTAGGATTTTTTATTTAGATTTATTATCGTTATGGTTTTATAAAATCTTGTGTAACAATCGCTGATCTAGCCAATCAGCATTACTCACGGGCAGGGACCCGGAAATTTTTGCCGTTTGCCGTAGGTATTTTTATTGGCCAGACTCGCGATTGTTTTTCTGACACCGGCAGAAAGATAGTACTTTGATAATAATACAAGTTTTCCCCTGATCGAAGTCGAAGGAAATGCTTTTAGTATTTCTGTAGATCTAGATCTGCCGAGAAGCCGAGAAACGCTTGTGTTTCGGTAGGTGGAACCCGAGAAACTGAGAAACACTTATTGTGTTTTGGTAGATGGTGAGAATCCAAGAAACATTTATGTTTCGGTTGGTGCACGGGGCCGGTGCCAAGAAGCTGAAAAAACATGTGCAATGCATGTTTCGTAGGTGGTGAGAATCTGAAAAGATATATTTCATAGGTTGACGATGCCTAAGAAGTATGTTTTGTAGGTGTATGGCTACGGGGACTTGATTATCAAACGAACTCTTTTTTGACCATTGTTGTAGGCAAAGTTTGTATATTTACTCTTCGTCTGTAAGGGTCAGTATGTGTGAAAATTTATAGTTAGGTGATTGGAGCCTACTTTATAGACCATAGGTGCTTTATTAATTTCTATTGCGCTTTTTAATTACAAATCGAAGATGCAAATCATACTGCAAGCAATCAATTAGGTGAACTTTTATAACTGTCTCCGCAATTACACTGGTCATCACAAAAATTCTGAATTGGATTCCTGGACTAAGGATATTTGACGTAAAATAAGATAAGTTTTTCCATTGGTTTAATTTTATCTGCATTATCCAAGAAAAAAAATATGTCTCCTGAAACTTTATTTTTACAGAATAATGGAGTACAAAAAAATCTGGCGCTACAGTTATTACTACCTTAACAGCTCGTCGAATAGTATAGATTTTCGTCTCTCCCGCATTAGTGATATACCATGAACGGTGCCAACTAGAACCGGATAATTTTTTCAAAAGCCATGCAAGCATCTATTAGAAAGAGGAAGGTATACATTGCATTTTGAATTTGTGGTGCGTTCCATTATAAATGTTTCTTTGATTGCTTTACATTTCTTGTTTCTAACTACCTTTACTCAAATTTCAGGTTTTGCAATAGTTAGAATATATAAATTAATATTAGAATGAGAATATCTTAGTTGTATTTGTTTTCACCTCTAAGTTATATAGTAAAGCCAAATAAATGTAAAGCAATGTAGTACGCATTTGCAATTATAAAGCAGTAATAAAGCTGGCCCTGGTGGCTGATTTCGCATACATAATCACGTTTACTTTTGCGTGTATATTTATTTTATTGTTATCGATGTATACTAACCAGCATATGATTGAGAAATTTTAAAAATTTTTCTTGGAAAAGTGCGTGAATTTTTTTCACGGAGTCATGTGATTTTATCAGACTCGAACTTTTGAACATATCCGTATCTTGTATAAAACAATAGAAGACGCTCAATCCACAATTGATTCGTTGAGAGAATTGAATACCAAGTTCATTCTTCAAATTGATAAACTTAGAAAGGAGAATGCTGATATCAAGGCTGAAAATATAAAATTAAAACAAGATAAAGCAGAAATCGAAGCTAGATTTGTGAAATTAGAGCAGAATGATAAAGATACTGCTACTGAAAATGCTGAACTTAAAGCTAAGGTTGCGAAATTAGAACAAAAGCAATTACAAAATGATGAAGAAAAAAATAACCATATAGCTAAAGAAATCAGGCCCAAAGGGGTGATCCTAAATGATTACCAATCTTCAGTTAATATTACCTCTACCGAAATGATAAATTCTAGCCATTCTAATGATCCCAATAATGCTTCAGTATCTGATATATCTGTTAATGCTTCAGTACAAATATGCAGGCTTATGCCAAATTCTGATGATACTCCTGGACAGATAGAAAATAGTGCCAATATATACCAGGATATGGTTAGCCAATGCCCTACATCCCATAACCACCCTGAAATAAATCATGATAATACTTCCACAAAAGGTGAGTCATCCACAACCTCTTTGCCACAAGATATTATCGATGATGATTCAGCCGAGACCCTTGATTTTGTAGAAATGAAACATAAAGAACGTGTTAGTGAAGAGATAATGGAGAGAATTAGGGAAAAGAAACTTTGGGAACAAAACTTATCTTTGGATAATAATTCACCAGAACCATCCAATTTATCATACAAAGTTCAAAATTTGAAATCGTCAACAATATCACAATCTATCTCTAGCCACTCTGTGACTACCTCTGGTGATAGCTCTGATTTATTAGAACAACTTCCTATAAAGCAAAAAAATAAAATGCTTGAAATAGATATAAAACCTTTAATACAAGAACTAAATATAAAAACTTTAAAGAAGGATACTATTAAAATTGTTAATGTAAATGTCTTAGAGAAGCGATCCTCTATATCTAGCTACTGTGTAACTAGTATTTTGAACCGTCAACTGAAAGCTCAACCGGGGATGATCCGGGTAAACTTCTGGGTATTCCCAGCTAATCATAATGTTTGTTTATATCAGGTAAAATAGGATGCATCAATTCTATTTTACCTGATGTAAACAAATATCAGCGATTGGCTGGGAATACCCAGAAGTCTACCCGGATTAGCCCTGGTTGAACTTTCGGTTGAAGGTTCATAACACTATGTGTGACTGCCTTTGGCAAAAATTCTACAGATAACTAATCACCTATAATCAAATTAGTATATCTATTTGAAAGAATTTGTTTTGTAGAATTTAATACTATGCAAGCTAAACAAGATGAAATTGCTAGCTGGTATTCATATAAAAAGTTTTTTGAAAAAAGACATAGTAAAATTTTACCTGGAATTCTGAAAAATAAATTACAACTTATAAAACAAAAAGCATATGAGCTAGCGAGTAGCCAAATTTATAATAAAATGTTATATTATCTTTCAGGTATCTCTCGAGTAAATTTGTATAAAAAAACACAACTAACTAAACCTATATATAAGTTGTTTAATGAAATTGAAGAAGATAAGATTTTGCAAATTAAGACTTATAGCGCAAATAAACTTTCAAAATTAACTGATACACAAATCGATATAATCATATATGAGGTAAGTCATTTCACAAAAAAGTATAATACTACCCCCACTGCAGTTCAGAAAATTTCTATATTTGGTATTTCTAAATTAGGGGATGATCCTCATTTTGAAATGTTCTAGAAAATTTTCGATTACATGCAATTGATCCAATCATCGCCAACCTTATAAATGTCGATTTTTAACTTATACTTAACAGCTTTACAATACAGAACTGCACTGTACAAAAGATAAGTTTTCTATTTTTTATTTTTTTTTTAAATTAAATAATAGAAATATTTATTACTCTTTTTATTATAGTATTAGCCGGGTGCTCTTATTACATGTTGAAATCATTATATATAAGGCGATGAAATTGTTAGTCTAATCAGGCTAGGTGGTGTTCTGAACAAGCTTTGTATCATCAAAAACAATATTTTTAGCATCTAATTACATCACAGAATTCAAGAACACTAAAACAAATGATCTTACAGTATCAATTGAAATTTTAAGGTTGGCTACATGATTATGAATTAGATCTATTTAACTGTTTTATAATATATGGACAAAGCGCACTTTTAAAATAGAGCACAAAATTTTAATCAGTATTATTATTTATTAAAATAGTTAACTTATTTAATTTTCTGATTCTGATTCTGATTTATCCTCAGGTTTATCCTGATTATCTTGCAGGTCTCTAATACTTTGTAAGATCTCTCGCAATTGATTACAATTTTTCTGCTATAAACCACAATACTTAGAGCAATCTGAAATATTAATAGAAGCAAGTAGTGAATTTATAGTTGTCAAAAGTTCTGCTTTTAACATCTTTTCTTTACTCATAGCTGCCTCTTTCTCTTGTTCAGTAACAGGTATTGGCCATGGTAAGCTTGGCTTGTTATTTTCGAAGGTTTCTTTAATAAATGCTATTCGCCTTTCACATACCAAATAACTAAACTTTTTTAATTGTTCACTAAGCAAATATTCCCTTTCAAGACTTTCAAATCTGCAATTAGATTTAAAAATCTGGTTTTTCTCAACTAAACTCTAAATCGCTATGATTCTGAAGTATAGTCTAGACATGTCTGGCCTCTTGAAGATTCACTTTCTGTATGTCCAATTATGTCAAATAACATGTAACATAGCTAATTTATTGTTTATGATAAGTATTTATATATAAAATTTTGGTTTTAATTTCTCAAAAATAAATTTACTAATCTTTATAAATTTTGTGCAGTTTTGAGCTACTATATTCCAATATCTCTGTAAGGGTACAGGTGGAATTAAAGCCTTTAAATATTTATTAATTTCCTCAAGAATAGCATCAAGGTCTTGATGTTGATTACAATAGCCTGACCATGAAATAACAGAGTATAATTCTACAATCTTTCTGATTTCAGAATATAATCGTAATAATTGCCCTTCATTATTAACCTCAATATAGTGATATATAGAGTATCTACGACTAGACCAAATTGGAGCAAATATACGTCTAGCAGCATTTCTTAATGATAGTCTATTATTCCTGGCTCCTGTACGAAAGTTGGCTATTGCCTGAAGATAGACAAACGTCTATAATATTATTTAATTATTTAGTTATAAATTTTTAAATTACAATAATTCTGTGGTTCGAATTAAAGTTTTACCTGCTCAAATTTTAATTTATAAATGCAGTCATCTTGTTTTTTTGTCCAATCTAAATAGTCGTCGACCGAGGGATTTTTAGCTTCAACCACATATGGCCATAGCAATTCACATATTATAGCATATCTGTATATATCGCAAATTGAGTTTCACAATTTATGATGGTCTATACATTTTTTAAAAAACCTAAGCTGATTTTCTGTTCAATATCCTTGATGAATAGCAAATTGTTTGATATCAATAGCTCTAAACAAGAATATTTAAATTAGAGAGAATATAAAAAAAATAATAACAATATGACAATAATAAAAACCAATTTTATTTTAAAATGCTTTAAGCATATTCATTTCTTCATGTAGAGCTCCAGGAATTAGAATTAACCAAGGAAAAATCCTTTTTTATTTTTTGAGCAAAATTATAAGAAACTCCATCACGAATAACAGGTAACTATTTTCACCCATCATTGTTTATTTTTGTGATGTTTTGTATGTGCTCTAAAACTTTTTTAATATTGTTTATCGAATTAGAGTTTAGTTCTAATGGGTCTGGCACATACATTTCTGGAACAATGACATTTTGATCAGGTTCAAGTTTTTGTGTAATGCTAATACATTCAAAAGGTAAAGTTTTTTGTTTGTGAGTAAAGGTATTAGATTTTATTATGATAGGTTTTAATTGGGAGTTCTATTACTAATTTGAGCAGACTCATTAGTTGATTCTGCTCGTAATGCAGCTAGTGTATCCAACTTTTCATTGCAGTTAGGACAAGTGCATTTTCTATTATCGATGTTTGTTGTATTACACTTTTTATACTATTTTGAGTGATCGCCAATGCCTTTTTGATTTTTTATTATTGTGTCAATTGTATTTGATTTGTTTCTTTTTTCATTAATGAGTTCATTTAAAATTGGCAACAAATATGCATTTAATTCTAATTCACATTCTGTTCTCATTTCTGGTATAAAATAATATAATTCTTTATATTGAAGGTCATTTAATAAATTATAATACTATAGATTTGTTGTAAATTAAACCAAATTTTTTTTATCTATATTAAATGCAACAAAACTTGTGACTGTATGATAAATTACAGTATTATACCCTCGATTAAGATAATTATATTGGCCCTGTTGTTTGTTATCGAAGGCTAGAAATAAAAGTCCTTCGGGTATAGGTTCTTGTTCAATTGCAAGGGACTCTAACCAGTTAATAAATTTTACATAACTTTCAGAACTAATAACATGATTTTTAATATCAACAATCATTCTGGACCATGCTAATAAGTATTTAATTGCTGATAGAGTTAGATTTATTTTAGAGATATAGTTTTTATGTCTTGATCTATAAATTGTATCAACTGCGACTACTTTTTTAAAGAGCTTTTCTTTTAAAGTAGAATTATTATTACTACTTTCATTATTATGGGTAAAAACTTCAATAAAGTTAACAATAACTGGATTATGATTAGCTAACCAATTATTTAGTGTAAAATTTAACAAATTATTAAGAGAAAATTGATCTTTATTTAAAATTAATAAATCAATATCATTATAAACATTTTGATGTTCTTTATTTGCAATTTGAATAATAGAATCAATCCTTTTTTCTTGATTACTAAATCAATTTTCCCACTTAAATAATAAATTATTATTTTGTTTAATCAACTCCTGACTTAATTTATTTATTTTTTGATCACATTCTTAACTTTCAACTACATAATCATATGCATAATCTAAATGTTTTCAAAGATCTTTTATTTCATTTATTTTTTTATTTAATTACTCTTGAAGTAAAATTACATAATTTTCAAGGTCTTGAATTATAGATTCAGATGTTTGTATGCCAACCTCACATAATTGTTTTCTGACCTGTATGCCAATTTCACATGTTTGTTTTTCGATATATTCGGTTTCAGAATCATGACTTTTAACTTGCCATTTTGGATTGTACCACTGACTATTTAAATTTAAAAGATGATGATGAAAATAATTAGAAGCTATGAGCTGATTATAGTACTGATTGCACATAGAATAGTCTTCCAAATGCATTTGAATTTCAACCAACTCAGAAAAAAAAGAATTATATGAAGGAAGCTGATTTTTGGCTGTCTGAGAATCAGCATGTCATATAGGTACCTTGGTTTTACATTTTTTTAATCCAATACTATTGTACATCCTAACCAATTTGGCAAAAACACAAGATAGATTTGCTGCTAGTTTTCGCTCTGCTAGTTCTTGTACTGCTAGTTCTTGTACTGCCGATTCTTGTACTGCTGGTTCTTGTACTGCCGGTTCTTGTACTGCTGGTTCTTGCTCTGCTGGTTCTTGTGGCTGCTTATAAGATTTCACTAAAAAGTTTATAATGAATAAAATAAATATTATTAGTCTTATTCACCATTATAATAAGAAATATTAAACTATTTGAATTTAAATTAACTAGAAACTTATGCAAAGATTATGTTCTCACAAATACAGTATAATATTTGTCCAGAGAAAGTGAAATAAATAAACCTACTTGGTACAAAAAAGGTATACTTATTTTTATTTTTTAATTTTTTTTTTTTTCGGTATTAAGGTAACCTTCTTGGCCTGGTGACTTTTTATATATTAGTAATCATTAGTCATTACAGTTACAATAAAGATACAACTAGCCACACGTGCACCTTTTGGGTACCTATTTAA